TTGCTTCCCCGGTGGGTATGCTTCCAGCCCTCAGGCAGCTCACGTATGCGAGGCAACGTCAGCATGAAATTGATGTCCTCTCGTTGATGAGACTTTTGGGCTGGACTGAGGTGTTGATGGAGATATTGCTTGACCTCCGATTCTTGCATAGCTGGCCGGTATGGAGAATCCTGTGAGCGTGTCGTCTTTCTCTCCTGTTCGGCAGCCCGAGACACTCGGTTTTGCTGAAACGAGGCGAATACCGACAACCCTGGGTCGACTGGAGGTGGTGCGTCAGGAGGAAGTGGGTTTCTGGAAACAACGATTCCAGGTGTACCTCCAGGACCATCCTTCTGATAGTTACCGACCTTGGTCAATGTGCCATCTCCGTTGTCATTGAATGTCGTTGAGCAATGGCCAGCACCGAAATGTCCACCAAGACCATTGAGTTTGCCAAACACGCGGCGGCAATCGCGCACAGGACATATGTATGGAAGTACAGGGTCGTCGTGGAGTTTGTAGTTTGCCGGAATGAGTGCCCCACGAGCAGAGGTAGAACCACCTTCGGGGACTGAGTATGTTAGAGCAGCTCGATGCAGTGATTTGGACTACCTACTTGGATATACAGTGTAGGCTCGGCCGGGTTCAGCCATGATAATTGCCTCCAATCGAGGTTCAGGTGCAGGAATATCCGGTGAAATTGCTGGTCCAGGTGTTGGCGATGGTGTCCCTTGGCCAGTGTACTTTTTGAGCAACTCGGCGCCGGTGAGAGCAACCACCGCAGATTGGGATGAATGATGCATGGCGCTCTTCTTGATAGCTGCACCGTTGATATCTGCCAACTGTCTCGCGACCTCGGCTTCCGTAAAGCGACGAGCTTCGCGAACACGGGCGTAATCAGCGGGAATCCTTTTGGGGAGACCGGATGAAAAGTCCGAATGTGAAAAGTCTGGGGGTGTGTTTCTCTTTCGAGACATCCCTTGAGACGATGCAGGTGACTGTGAGAAGTATTGTGCTGGTCATGTCAGAGTGAACGACGTCTTGAGGTAGAAAAGACATACCCTGTCTACGTTCCCATTCAGACTGAGCTGCTTGAATTCGGGGATTGCTCGATAGGATCCCAGCCGCCGAAGCTTTGACTGCTGCGCTTCCGACAATGTCACTGACGATACGTGAGGGTTCTGGGACGTTGAGGTTGGCTTTGACTGAATTCCACGGTTTAAAGCCTGTGCTCTTTACGATTGTAGGGTCTGCATTGCCGGACATTATAGGATCAAGGACTGGTTGCAGGTTGAAAATCTCATGGCGAGTGAGAAACGGACTGAAAAAAAATTAAGGAACGAATAAGAAGCCCAAGTCGGGTTGCACAGATGAGATGAATTGATGAGGTGAGTGAGCTGATGATGAAAGTGAATTGGACGCGCCGACGCGAATGAGGTTATAGCGCGGTTAGGGGCAGGATGTACCTCGCTGCAGAATTAAGGTGAGAGATACCCCCAATGTTCCCCAATACGACCTCCGCCAGCGAATACATCACTAACACTGCATATGCACCGGTTGAGCATTACAAATGAGCCATCTTCAATTCACTCAACTGCAGCTTCTGATTTCGACATGTCTCATAATGTACAGCTATACATACAATTGTCCACCTATTCTACAGCCTTTCCATCGCATCTAACCACTATTTCTTCTTTGATGCCTTTTTCGCCTTCTTGGCTTGCTTCTGGCTAAGCACCTTGACAGCCTTGATCTCCCCGCCGCTCTCGGCCCTCTTCTGCTCCGCCTTTCTCTGTCCCTCCAGTTCCCTCTCTCTCCTCCATCGTCTATGCCTGAACCACTGCTTTCGCGTCCTGAATCGCTTGGTCTTGAGGCCCGTCGTCTTGGCCAGCTTTCCAATAGCCCAGTTGTCTTCTCGATAACTGTAGTCCTTTCGCAGCTTGAGCAATCTGTCTGGTTCGCCCGCTTCGACACGGTTGACCTGGAAGGGGATTCCGGACGGTGAGATCTCGGGCTGCGCGGCGACTTCTTTGATGGGGAAGGCGGTCATGTTTAGTTTTCGCTTGCGTTGGGCGTGAGCTGGATATGGTAGTGTGTCGTTCTTGTCAAAGACTACGCCGATGTATTTGCGGTCGGGATGTGGCGAGGGATCGCGGTAGTATTTGACATATCCGGTCGCCATTGCGTGAATGGTGTGGTCTCGACCCATGATGCAGTTCTCTCCAGGCCACCAATGCGTACCGCGCTGTTTGTAGAGGATGTTTCCAGGAATGACGAATTGATCTAAAGGTCAGCCCAGTCCGGCTCATTCAGAGCGGAACCTACCTCCTGTACGCTTCGCACCGAGCTTCTTTGGAATACCCCTCTTGGGCTTCTTCTTGTATGCTCCCTGCGACTTGACCGACGCAAATCGATGACCTTGGACGAGCGAGTTGGCCAATTGGACACCCAGAGGAGCGACAGGTGTGAAAGCCGGCCTCGCTAGACTGGCCACAGCAGCCAATATTGGCCGCTGCATCGTGAGGAACCTCATGCCGGCGGTTTGTGACGATATGGGCTGAGTGAGGTTAGCAACGCTTGATCCTCAATTGATGGAGTTTTTGCGCTTAGTCATCGCTTATCGATAAGCTTGTGGACAGCTTCCCTAAACTCAGCTGCAACATCAACACTGCTCTGTAGAATCATGAACAAAATGCGGTACCTTTTTGCTGTTCTGTCTCTCTTGACACTGGCCAATGCCCAATTCGGGGGCTTCTTTGATCAAATGTTTAACCAGCAAGGAGGCCACGAACATCATCAAGCGCAACAGCAAAACAACCCAAGCGATGCGAACCACTACAAGCAGAATTACGAGAACTGTAAGTGCACCTACAATTTCTGACTTTGCTAACATGTACAGCTGTCTGCGACAAATACCTCTGCCCCGACACTCTCGCTTGCGTCCACTTTCCTCACCACTGTCCCTGCGCCTGGGATGCTCAACAAGAAAAGTTCGAATTAGCTGAGGGACAACGTCTCTGCGTCTCTCGTGGTGGATTTCGGCCTGGTGAAACAGCTCGAAAGATTGAATTGGCAAGAAAGGGACTACTGTGAAACATCGACAAGCATAACACCACGACGACAAAACGACAAAACGAGTGATAACCGTAAATATTAGGAAATGAAACATGCCTCTACCGATCAGACTATGTGCCCTTGGTCTCCATCAGAATCTTGAAAACGAGCGAGTAATCAGATAACACACTCCTCCTCTGCCAACGCCCGATAATGATATCCTCAAAACTCCATCCTAATGCCCTAGCCAGTTCACAACCCTCATCATGTCTCCCCAGCACCCTACGCAGTGCCGTTGGGTACGCGCGGTACCTGTGGCACAGGCGGCACCTCACCCTCGTCATCCTCATCCTCATCCGCGAGCGTCTCGGGGTGGCCCAGGAGCTGGGCCACATTTTTCATTTCGTAGTGTCTCTTCCGGAGCTGTTCAAACTTTCTGTGCTTCTCACGCTCCTCGGGAGACATGCCCGCCAGCTCCTCCTCCGCGTTGTGCCCGATGCTGCTCTCGTCGTCGACGTGAACGCTCTTTTCGCTGCGGGGTGACGGCGCGCCCGCTTCCGGGATCTCCTCTTCCGGTTCGCCCAGCGAAAGGCCCGGAATGTCATCTTCACGGCTTGGACGTGAATTCTTAAGACGAGCACCAGCGTCCGCCAGAGGATCCTCGTCTTCGTCCGACGGGTCTTCGGCGGGGTCGTAGTGTTTGGCATAGGGAGTCTTTGGTTCTGTGATCTTCATGGTAGAGGAGCGCTCCTGCTCCGTGAGGTAGAGGTTTGCCTCGTCCCACTTGAGTCGCTGCGAGGGTTCGAGAACGTCTCCGATGGAACTGTTGGCACCTGATTGTCGGCGGGATCCAGAAGGGCGGGCTCCAGAGGAAGAACGTCGGTGACCAGCGTTGATCTGAGTGTTGGCGATGGTAAGCTCCTTATCGCTGGCAGGTTGATCGTGGTTCGGCGAGGTGGGAGGAGATTTCTGATACGAGTTCTTGAGGATGCCTGGAACTGTTAGAGAGGTCACAGATAGTGTCAGACAACTCACCTCGAGGTCGTTGAGGAGGATGGGCAGGAGGCGAGTGCGCCGGGGGAGAATCAACAGCAGAAGCCATTTTGGTATAGTCGGAAGCTTGAGTTGAAAGGGTTAAAGCCAGAGCCCAAGCCCAAGGCGTTGTATCTGAGATATTGTGCGGTCTGAACGTGGTGTTTGCCTGTGATGCAGTCGCGAGATCAGGTTGAAAGATGAAACCCTGTGCTCGTGAGCAGATCATCAGTAAAAAGAGGCGGGGGGCCCTATAACATCCAATGACGCAGTGGCCTGAGACCCCAGGATTTGGAGGGGCTGGGTACGTACCAAGCCTTGATTAACGGCGTGTGATGCTAAACGGACGATGACTTTTGTCAAGATAATAAGGGCGTCGCTGTTGATCCCGTTATTCTAACCTCTTCAGTCGGGTTTTTTGGTCGTACATAACGGTTGTGACTGGGAATACCCTTGTCGTCCGCTTTCTAGTACACCCTCTTTGATGCAAGAAACATCTGGAATATCGTGAGATTACGCACGTGAATGCATGAAACGGGTTCTGCGATTAAACTTATTATCACAGTCATATTGTTATCACAGTTGTATATAGTAAACTTGAGTTGATACTGTATATACGAGAATTCCAGATTATCTGATCTTGTTGATCGTATATAATTGCCGGCCTCTACGTCATTTTCACGATGAAAGGGTCGTCACACAGCCGAGTGGTTAGAGGGGAATGGTTGGATGCGATGCAACCTCGTTCGTCATTCGAAAAACCACTCAAACTTGGTTGATTGGCCATCTCTACGATGAGATGAAACGATGTTGATCTTGCTTGGTCTAGATCTTGTAAACCGCGCATGCCAGCATAAATCAGCGGCATGCATTTGCCAGCAGGTTCAGATAATGCAGTCCAAAGCACGCCAACTACTCGTGTGAGTTGTTCTCACTTATCTGTGCGTTACTGCTGTTTCTCTGCCTGAATTCCCCTCCCGCTCGGCGACCTTCTCGCTCAGAGCCCGCAGGCTGGCCTCCAAAGCCTCAATACGCTCCTCCAGCTGCATATCCTCCGACTCGGTCATCTTCTCCTCCATGGCACGCTGGAAGGCCTCCAAAGCCTCAAGACGCTCCAGCAGACGCGCAATTTCAACAGCATTGTCCATGTCCTGTGAAGATCTGGTGGTGAAAGTTCCCTCTGTCTTGGCGTTGCCTGGATGCTGTTAGCAAATGGGTATTTAAGCTTCTTCTGCCATGATTTCCTACCTCTCAGCTGAATATTGTCGTAAGCTGTCTCGATGGGGTATCTGGATGCGTATTCTTGATAAGCAGCGATGTTATTCTGGGCCGTGGTGATGTTCTTTTGGGCAGTAGTGACAAAAGAGCGGCGTCCTTCTGGGCCAAGTCGGCGAAGAAACTCATCCGTGGAGAGCATTTCCAACCCGTCTGATGCCTTTGCGCTATGTTCGGACGAGTAGCTCATCTTGCTCGACTCGACGGGAATAAATGACCGCGTACTTCTATTAACGTGAGTGTCGGCAAAATTGGAGCGGTAAGTGAACATACCGATGAACCAGATGGTAGACAAGTATAATGAGTGAGGTGCAGGTGTTAAAGTGGCAAGAGATAATGTATTTGTAGTACTGTACAAAGATTAAATGAGGATAAAGTGAAAGGAGTGAGAGGAAGAAGAGAGGATGCTTCTAGGGCGAAGAAGCATCGTGAAGAAAGTGCCGTGAATCAGAGTGGAAGATATTGAGCAGTGGCAGCTGCTGGCACTGGCAAGATCATAAGCAATCAATATTTGGTTTGTGAGCGTCTCTCATTGATTGAGGTGTTCTCCCTCGTACTCCCAAACACTTTTGAGTGACCCAGACAGGCCTAAGTTTGGGCAATTGCTTTACCCACCACTGGTAGCTCGTGATCTCGTAGGGGTTACTTCATCAAGTCTTATTCCTATCATCACTGGATCATGACGGGTTTGCGAACTAGGTATCAATTTAACTAACTAACGATTACACGCTTGCAGAGAACTACCTAATTGACAACATACTTACCGACCATCTCTAGATCAACACCTATCATCCAGCTAATCGGAGCTCTTCTCATTGTGGCCACTCTCTTCATCACGGCTTCCGCCCATGCTGTAATACTTGCCAAAGACACGAGTCTCCAGATCAGAAACACCGCCCGTAGACTTACGAGCCTGGCGACGGAAATAGATACGCTTAGCCCATTTCCAAGATTCAATGCCGAGGAAGAAGAGCACAGCCTCGACAAAAACAATACCCCATTCCCAAGAGATAGGAGCATGCTTAAAGACGACAGTGTTGAGTCCAGGAATATAGATTATAGGGAACATGGTAACAAAGCCGGCAATAATGGCCCAGAACAGGAAGGGGTTCCTCCAGACGTCATACATCCACTGGGTGAAATACTTCTTGCTCTTGGGTTGCATTCGGAAGAAAGACCTTCTCATATTGATCATCTCCCAGGCCAGGAACAGGGCGAACCAGGTCAGGCATGCAAATGTTGTTGAACGAGCACGGAAAATGACCTTGCAGTCTTCGCTGTACGTGTTGTTGCAGTTCTCTCCAATGTCAGCAGCACCATTGCCGAAGCCGTACAGGACGAGGACGAATGAGGCGAGGCAAAGGGCTGACATCCAGAGACCGTAGACGACCATGTCGAGCATCAGTTCGGGGGTAAAGACACCTTGTTTCAGCTACACAAACAGACATGTTAGTGGCGCTCGTCAGAAGCGAAGACGGAGAGAAGGGACACATACGTTTTGAGGGGGACGCTGCATAATATCTGGGGCAGCAATCTCAAAGCCGAGGCCCATATCAGGCATACCAGATGTGATCATGATGATCCAGAGAATCTCAACTGGTGCAAGAGGGAAAACCGACAGATTGTCCTTATCCTTGAAAGCAAGACCGATCAGGAGTGTACAAGCTTGGGCAATGTTCTCAGCCAAAACGTGCAGAATAAATTTCTGAATATTGTCAAACATTCTTCGACCTTCTTCAACAGCATTCAGAATAGAAGCAAAATTGTCATCAGTCAAGACAATGTCGGACGCTTCCTTGGCAACATCAGATCCAGCCTGTCCCATAGCAATACCCACGTCTGATCGCTTCAAACTGGGCGAGTCATTGACACCATCACCGGTCATGGCGACGAAAGCCTTGCGTCGATGAAGAGCTTCAATCATACGGACCTTGGTCTGGGGGGCACAACGAGCGACGACAAGAGGCAAAAGGGGAAGCTGATCAATCTCATCATCGGACAGCTTGTCAAACTCTGAAGCAGCCATGACCATTACCTTGGAAACATCCTTGGGGATCTCAGACATCTTGGCAGGGAGAATACCAACCTCAAGAGCGATAGCACGAGCTGTTTCGGGGTGGTCACCAGTAAGCATGTGAACACTGACACCGGCTTCGTGGCATTTTCGGACGGATGGGGCAGATTCGGGGCGAGGAGGATCATACAGGCCGATGAGGCCACGGAAGACAAGGTCCTTTTCGAAGAGCCCACGGTCAAGTTCAGCCTCGTTGTCTTCAACATGGGGAATATCTGTTCGGCTGGCGAGAGCAAGAACACGAAGACCAAGGCGAGCCAGAGACTCCATGTTTCTCAAAACATCTTCCTTGATTTCATCTGTGAACTCGAGAATTTCGTTACCAGCGGCATAAACGGGGCAAGAAGTCAAGACACGTTCAACAGCACCCTTGGTAAAGACCCATTGCTTCTGAGATTCGCTGTCGTGGAAAATGACCGACATCTTCTTGACGTCTGAATCGAAAGGGAATTCGGCAACTTCATGCCAGCGGGGATTATCGCCAGACGACAATCGCATGCGGTTCCAGTTGAATCGAGAAGCAAATACTTGCATAGCAATCTCTGTTGGATCTCCACGAGCATGCCACTCGCCCTCAATCTCGTGGACAGTGGCAAGGTTGGCAAGTGAAGCAACATTGAGGTACTCGACAAGACTGGGGTCTTGAACAGGCTGGGAAGCGGGGTCGATTGATGTACCTTTGGACTTTTCATTCTGGAAGTCTATGTTCTTGGGTTGGTCCTCAGTAAGGGTGATATCTCCGAGGGTAGGGTTGAATGGCTCATTGGAAGCGCCAACAGAGTATGTGCCGCGTCCAGGGATCCAAGCCTTCTTGACGATCATGGTTCCTTGGGTAAGGGTTCCGGTCTTGTCAGAGCAAATGTCTAAAAGGTTAGCTATGTCTGTATGACATGGAGTGGTACTTACTGGTCACAGCACCCAGGGCTTCCAAACTCTTGAGGTTACGGACAATGACATTTCTCTGGACCATACGCTTGGTACCAGCAGCCATGGTGATGGTGAGAACAACAATCAGAGAAGCTGGGATCATAGAGAGACCAGTTGCCACGGCATAAATGATGACTTCCCTCTGCGACCTGAAATCATTGGCTGCCAGAACAATAATAGCACACACAATGGCCGTTCCGAGAAGAATAAGTGCCAGCTTGGAGAGCTTGCGCTGAAGAGGAGTACCGACATTGACACCGAGGAAGCGTCCAACGGCATCAGAACCGGTCAAGGTCCAAGCTTGCATCCAGCGGCCAAAGTTGGTGTTGCCCTCGGCATCTCTCTTTGGCTGTCGGCGCTTGGAAGACTTGCCACGAAGAGCAACAGCAATCTGACCAATCTCGGTGTATGTACCAGTGGCGAACACAATGCCGCGAGCTCGTCCCTTTGTCACAGTAGACGAGCTGTAGGCAACGTTGAGTCGGTCGCCAGGGCCAGTATCATCTGGAAAGGTCTTGTTGATCTCTTTGCGCACAGGCAGAGACTCGCCAGTGAGGAGTGCTTCGTTGGTTTCAAAGTTGACAGCCTCTACGAGACGGATATCCGCAGGGATGGTGTCTCCCGTCTTGAGTTCAACCATGTCACCAGGGACAATCTCAGCAGTCACGACAACTTGGTTGTTACCGTTGCGGACAGCGTGGGCGGTAGGAGAGCTGAGGGAACGCAGGGAGTCCATAGTCTTGGCGGCTTGAAACTCTTGGAGGAAACCAACGACAATGTTGAGGACAATGACGGCGGCTACTACACCACCTTCAATCCAAGACTGGATTCCGAAAGAGGCAGCCATGGCAAGGATGAGAACCTGTCCCCCAAAGGGCAAATGAGCGACTCTACCGTTGTCTCTGAGCTTCTTCAAGTATACTTGAGGAAGCCTGTGTGAGGTAACTTACTAGAGTCAAGGCATTGGCGATCTGCCCGATAAAGATCTTGAGAGGTTGAACACCTTCTTGTTCACCGAATTCGTTTCGACCATAAGTCTCGAGACGCTGCTTGGCCTCGGATTCAGTGAGGCCATCATCGAGATTACCATTCAGCTCCTGGGCGACCTGCTCAAAGGCAAGAGCATGAGCAGGTGCCGACATGGGAGAGTTGGCTTGGCCAGAGATGTGAGGCTTCTCTTCTTCGTTCTGACCCATTGTGACAATTGAAGAGAGCAATAAGTTGAAAAGTGCAGAAGAAGAAGAGGGAGAAGCCTTTTTAAGCTGTACCTTCACAGGGGAGACATCAAGAGACCTTCCAAGTAGGACACCGATGGACCGTGAGATGGATCATGGTGGATGTGCCAAGAGTGACCATCACAGGAGATGCATGCGAAACAAAGGTTGCGCCAAGAGCGCTCAGGTTAAACAGTTCTATTTGGAGGAGAATTTTTATATGTGGAGATGATTGGCATTCAGAGTAATATGCCAAGACGATGCGTCGGAGGTGTCCTAAGCCGCATTGTTGAGGCGGTTTGGAGGTTCTGTTGAAGATATTGTCACTGTTCGTGGCTTGAGCGATCAATGTCTAGTCTGAGTACTTTGAGGCCTACAGAGTTTAAAATCAACTCTCGTTTAGCATTTTAAATCTTAAGCAACTTTATTCAAGCAGGATCTGTATCTGCGCTGGGAATCATTGGATAGACAACGAGTGATGCGCCAAGTTTATCTCAAGAGCTTAAAGTCGTTAGTGGAGGTCCTTGCTTCTTGGCGTTGCCGGGTCCTCCAACCTGGTTCTTTCGATAGAGTACATGGCAATGACATAATTCCACGCTGAAAACAGCTATTCCTGGTATTTTTGAGACGCACAAGTGCTCAGAGAGTCGTACAGACGTTTCGTGTTTATTATCTCGGTACTTGTTAAGCTTGAAGCCATTTTTAGATCAGATTCTCAGAGAAACGAGGGTATCGGAAAAGCGGGTCTCTTTATCGGGGAGCCGGTCTTCAACTCCTACGTTCAAGGGTCTAAAATATCCCCAGATTCCCGTCTCCGCGATATGTGAGATAAGATTCGGCAATTACGTAGTCTTGGACGTTTAAGAACCGGGATTAAAATGTACTTATTATTCGTATTGATAACACTTACGTAGGAGAAGAGAAAGAGATGCTCACCTCTTATTCGTCTGTTCTATTCCTCTTGCGGTAGAAGACTACAGCTCCTACCGATGGTACCCTGCCCTGCCCGGGCTGCCCTCCAAGTTCGCTAAAGTCGACTCGCCCGCCCACTGATAAAGCCAAGATACCTTAGCGGCCTTGCAGCCTCAGCCTTCTGATGCCAACATCAACTTCGCAGCATTTGCCAAGCTCCGCCAAGACAATAAACATCTCGTCATCTGCTCTAAAGCTGAATCATTGTCACGGGCTCGAAATACTCATCAATCAATGGCCAGAACCGCTGGTGCAGCCATGCCGTTGCGATGTTCCGTCCCGGCACCAAACAATCATTCAGATGTTCTAGAACCGGTCTTGGGCTTGTAGCCGCCACTGCAAGCACGTTAATCAGTCTCGATTGCTATAACTAAAGTCACATGTCGCGACCATTATCAGGCAATTCTCGCGCTTGTCTATTTGACTACTGAACCCTCACAAAACACCGCATTTTCGTTATCGCTGAAATGGAGCCAGTCGGGATCATTCTGCTCGTGCTTTTTCTCTTCATCATCATCATGGGCCCTCTGTACGTCTTCCGCTGTCAAATTGGCCACTGCTAACGGGAGAAGAGCATGCTTCAGGATGAGCGTGCGGAGAGCGTCGGAGAAGGTTTTCAATCCCCAACCTAGTCAACTGGACAATGCGCGTCGGAAACTCAGCACCGTTACAACCTCAACGGTCATTCCACAAGCGAATCCCGATCCCACCGCCGACATTGAAGCTCAGACTCCACTCTCCGGGTTCGGTGAATGGTGAGTGCATCCACTTCCGGCCAAGGTATCGGAAGCTCAGTCTCCGCTTTCATGCTCCGGCCGGAGCTTGTACGGGCCGCTCCTGGATCTTGCTGACATTCTTAGTCCAATCTGCATAGGTCCTCTTGTTCCAGAACCAGCACATACCGTCAACGCCGACCCACGTCCGATTCTCGAAAAGGTTTCAACGGTGACATCTCACGAGACGAATGACAAACCGGGTCCCAGTGTGCAGACGACCGATAAATCAAGCCCAAGTGTACAGACGACCGATAAATCAGGCACAAGTGTACAAACGACGGCCGGTCCAAGTGTACAAACCGATGAAGCTGAAGACGACATCATGACGATAAATACATGCGGCCATTCTTTTCATTCAAAATGTCTTTCCTCTTGGTTCTTGATCGAACGATATGATTGTCCTGTATGCAGGGTGCCGTATTACAAAGGGATACCACGTCGCGAAACAGCCTTGAGCGTGACACCGTTTTGGTGATCACCGCCACTTAATTGATCACTAATCTCTAGTTTAAATGCATGGTTTCGATGCCTAGCCATGTCTCAACGTCAACAGCTTGATGATGCTTACAAGCAGCCAGCAAGGGATAGTTCCTAATTAGTCCAGCTTCAGCCACAATCACTTTCAGCATCTCGATTCCCCATCTAAATGTTTCAGTTGTTCGTGGAACACCTAATACTTTCCCGGGACCCTCCGACCACATTCATTGGCCTAGCTCATTTCTTCGGAGTAACTCCTACGGTTTTATGCAGTCTTCCGTTGTTGGGTGGTTTGAGCGTCACAGCGGAGCAAAGTTGCCAAATACGCACCGCCACCAGACGGATCGGCGATCTTCCCGCCCACCCAAGTCTAGATGACTTCATCGCCATCAACAATGCCTGGATCGAGAATTTTGGTCGTTGATCGTTTAGAGACCTGACACTTCACCAGCCAGCAATTCAACAGGTGATGCAGGGGGCTTTGTGCCCATCGTGTTACCAGCGACAGTTTGCTCCGGAAATAATGACCTAGCCCTACCGGAGGCAACATCGTTCCCAGACCATGCATGACGCACCCTGCGTCATTGGCTTCTCGGGCCACTTCCTCCGACTACCATTACTTTAAATGTTGGAGAATGTTCGTTGCCGAATTTATCAGGTACTTGGCTGTCGCTTATATCTGCTATTGCCCCATGACCCTCAATTCTTCCTCGTTTATACCACTTGACATATGTCACTTCGTTTCTTGACATCTGCTGGAAGACTTTCCCTGCGACTTTCGGCTCCTAGAGCTTATAGCACGACTACAACCATGACCTCGAAACGGAAGAGAACTGGAGCTCATCCGCCACCTCCTATGCCTGAGATGCCTGATGCCCCCAGGAGAAGCAGTCGAAGAATAAAGGATGCTGCCGAACGGCCAAAGTCAAACACAGATCCAATGAAAGCTGCCAGCCCAAAGAAAACAAAGGCTGTCTGGGATACAGGCGAAGGTGTCGAAGAAGCCATGCGCGAGCTGAGCGAGATGGAACAAAAGCTGCAGACTGCCGTCAGAAGACAGCGTCTTGCTGTTGAGTCCTCAGATCTTCATGTCAAGAAGGAAGCCGCCGACGAACCTGATATCCGACCGAAAATGTGTGCGCCGAACCAGGATACTGTTGTTACCAGGGGAAACTTGGATGGAAAGCCAAAGGTTGCCAACTCTGTACCACTGGATGAGTACGACGCCAAACTTGCTGCTGGCGACGTCGCTGATGCCAAAGGTGAAGACGATGGCTTGGACCGAGGTGCCAACAGGCCTCCCCCTGTCAACAGTGAAACTCTTCCTCTACCATGGAAAGGAAGGTTAGGATATGTGAGTTTGGCATTGTGACTTGCAGACATGACTGACTCTCCAGGCTTGCCTAAATACATACCTGCGCAATGCGACTCCTGCTGTCTTTTCCTCGAGGACCTGTCGCATGGCCTCTATTATTGAACACCGACACCCCTTAGCAAACCCTGATGAACCAGAGCACCCTACCAAGAATCGACCAGATAAGAACAAACCCGCAGACCACGAACGAGGACTCAAATACGTACAAGATTTGGGTTTAGCGAATGCAAGAGATATCGTCAAAATGATACGATGGAATGTCAAGTACGGCATCAAATTCATGAGACTGAGTAGCGAGATGTTTCCATTTGCAAGTCATCCAGAACATGGTTACAAGCTAGCGCCCTTTGCGTCAGAGGTGCTGGCGGAAGCTGGCAGAGTTGCTGGAGAGCTGAATCATCGTGTAACAACACATCCTGGACAATTCACACAGATTGGTTCTCCGCGCAAAGAAGTTGTTGCCGCTGCCATACGTGATCTAGAGTACCACGACGAGATGCTTACTCTACTCAAACTTCCCAAACAGCTTGACCGCGACGCTGTCATGATCCTGCACATGGGTGGCGTCTACGGCGACAAGCAAGCAACCGTTGACCGATTCAAAGAGAACTACGCCAAACTCTCAGACAGTGTCAAGCGACGACTGGTGTTGGAGAATGACGATGTCGCATGGAGTGTTCACGATCTGTTACCTGTCTGCGAAGAACTCAACATTCCTCTCGTGCTCGACTACCACCATCACAACATCATCTTCGACCCATCGATAAGAGAAGGATCTCAAGACATTATAGGTCTCTACGATCGCATCAAAGCTACCTGGACCAAGAAGGGAATTACCCAGAAAATGCACTACAGCGAGCAGACATCCAGTGCAGTCACACCAAGAGATCGTCGCAAGCATTCCGCCAGAGTCAAGACTCTCCCACCATGTGCCCCCGACATGGATCTAATGATAGAAGCCAAGGATAAAGAGCAAGCTGTTTTTGAACTGATGCGAACTTTTAAACTGCCAGGTTGGGACACTTTTAACAACATTGTACCATATGAACGACCAGATGAATCACGAAAAGCCGTCAAAAAGAAGGCAAAGAAGGGCAAGAAAGCAAATGGCGTCAACGGAGAAGCGGAGGATGACATTGAAGTTCCTGAAAAGATTGTTAGCGCTGAAGATTTTGGCATGGGAGGTCCTCAAGCAAGAGTGTATTGGCCCGAAGGTATGGAAGAATGGCTGCGACCGAAGAAGCGCGAGATTAAGAAGGCAAAGGAGGGCAAAGATGGGACACCTGTGATGAAGCAGGATGGAGATGAAGAATGATATGTCTAATGTCAATTGCATTACATAGTGTACAATTAATAAACTGCATGAATGTCAATTGAGTGGTGTTGATTGAGGTATTGATCGAGGTGTCAAATATACAGGGTAGGAGGTCTGAAAAGTTTTCATTCCTTCCCAAGTCAACCTGGAAGCCTCAACTTTTCTTCAACAACAACAATGGGTTCTACAAATTTTGACGGTACAAGCGAAAGCTTTTTGCACTGGTTCAAGTCTCTGCCAGATGCTACATTCTCCGACGCCATTAAAATTGTTGATCTTCGTGATCGCAATGCTGGTCGTGGTATAAGTAGGTGCCTGCATGCCTTCAAAGTCAAGCTAACAAAACAGTCGCTCTCGAGGATATCCCTGCGGAAACAACTCTGTTTATCATTCCGAGAAGAGCAATCATCAATGTTGAAACCTCGGAGCTACCAAAAAAGATTCCGGATGCTTTTGATCTCGACAAGCCTGACGATGACGCACCGGGATTGGATTCTTGGAGTTCGCTTATCCTCATCATGATTTACGAGTATCTTGAAGGCGAAAACTCCAAGTGGAAGCCTTATTTCGATGTTCTTCCTTCGTCATTTGATACGCCCATGTTTTGGTCCGACAATGAGCTTGACCAGCTTCAGGCCAGTCATATGCGACACAAGATCGGCAAAGCTGAGGCTGGAAATATGTTCCAAAAGACGCTTCTCCCCATTATTCGAAGCAATTCTGAGATTTTCAACGCCGGAAACAAGACTGATGCAGAGCTTATTGAGATTGCCCACCGAATGGGCAGCACCATCATGGCGTATGCTTTCGATCTTGAGAACGACGAGGAAGAGGAGGAGGAGGCTGATGGTTGGGTGGAAGACCGAGACGGAAAGTCGATGACGGGAATGGTACCAATGGCGGATATTCTGAATGCGGACGCCGAATTCAATGTAGGTCATTTCTTGAGTGATTGGCAAAGCTAACAGGATAGGCTCACGTCAACCACGAAGAGGAGAGTCTCACCGTGACCAGCTTGAGGCACATCAAGGCGGGTGAAGAGATTCTCAACTACTATGGCCCTCACCCGAACTCGGAGCTCCTAAGAAGATACGGATACGTTACCGAGAAGCATTCTCGTTATGATGTTGTCGAGATTCCTTGGGACATTGTCGAGTCAGCTCTGACCGCCAACTTTGGCATCCCAAGTCAAGTCTTGGAGCAGATTGTAGGTCGAACCATTTGAAGATGACCCAGCTAACCTGAATAGCGTGGCGCTCTTGAAGAGGACGAAGAATTTGAAGACACATTCGTTCTGGAGCGAGAAACAGGTGAGGTCAACTCGGATGGCACCTTTGCCGAGTCTGCTCGGTTTGAAAGCATGCCCGAAGATCTCCAAGAACAACTCAAGACATTCCTCAAAGGCATCAAGAAAGCACAACCTGATGCTATCCCCGACAAGCGAAAGAGAGACGAGATCCACCAAGCTGTTCTGGCCAAGACATTGGAGGCTCTCGTAGCAAGATACCCGACAAGCATTTCCGAGGACGAGGCTCTACTCAAGCAAGACCTCAACCAACGAACTCGCATGGCTATTGCCGTCAGGCTTGGAGAAAAGAAACTACTTCAAGAAGCAATTGCCGCATCTTCTGGAGACGTTGAGATGACAATGGACGACGAATCTGGACCAGCCAAGCGTGCAAAGCGTTGATCCAGCGGGGTTATGTGATAGATCTTGTTTCCTCTCGTCTCATGCAAGAGGTGCAGAAGGCGATTGCGAACCATCCGCAAGGCAACAATTCCAATCAAAATCACAATTATCTACTATTTAAATGATCCATATCGCACATTTGTTTCCAATCTTCCTCTGATCAGCAACCACATTGAAGAAGCTAAACACCAGCGAGATACTGACAACAATTGGAGTAGATCGATCGGGCTCAAGCCGTTGAGCTTGCAGTCTGGCTGAGACGAGCAGAAGTCTGCAGCTCTACAAGAAATACCTCGCTATACGCGGTCCCGCTCGTGTCACACAAACATCACCGAAGATGTATGATAATGTTGAAACACGAGTCCACCAACTTGATGGCCTCGCTGTGAGTATTCGATCGCGATTTGCCTCGGTTACATTCACCATCTTACGGTGTACGCCACCCCCAAAGAGTTGCAAGCGAGCAGTCTACTCGGACTTGAATGAACCCGAACTCAACACCATCAGAAGAGGCTTGAGCATTGGTTGCTTCGAGTCACCTGGCAAGGTTCCCACACGACCAAGACACATCTTGCGGAGACACCGACGTCCTCTGGCCTCAGATGCAATTCAGCTCCATCGCATAATCCAACGTTGCCAAGTCGCAAGTCACCAGATAATCAAGGGCTAGCGCCAACAACTGATCGACATCAAGATCTTATCTCACCCATTGGCCCGCTTTCTCGACAAATCAATCAGACAACTTACCCGGTGGGAGTGTGGTTGAAGTCTCCATCGATCCGTGGAGTATGGGTCACCGGTGTCGAGCAGAAGAAGCGTAAGAGGGGTCGGGCCGCGTTGGTGTTGCATGAACTAGGGTGTCTTCATATTCCCTGCACAGCATTCAGAAGTACCATGAAGCGTGGCACCAATCCTTATTTCAAGTCTTGAATAGGCTTTACGGATATGTCAAGATGTCTGGCAGACTGCTGAAGCTGACATGTATGGTGTCGTCATTCTCACTTTGTTGCTTCAAACACCGGAAGTCGATTTCCTCAACGGTAGTGACCGAGAAGGACCAAATGGTGAATCCGAGATGAGGCTCTGCGGATGAGTGAGTTATAAAATGGCTTGCTCAAGTGTCATCAACAAATGCAAGTCAACTGCTCATGATCGACAGATGCAAGTCAGCTAGTGATCATGTTGAAACAGGTATGCTAAAAGCTCAGCCTCAAGCTCAACTAACACTGTCAGAGAACATCAAAGCACAGCTCGAGCCGAAAAGGGAGCTCTTCAAGCCAACCCACCACAGGCTTCCTGTTTATCGCCAACAAACTTGTCATCCGAGATCCAGAACGTGACGATTATCTTCACCTTATTCCGCCCAGCTCACCAAACTTCTACCGCGGCGAGGTCCCAAGCAAAGTCATGCGGTACTGGAACGGCGAAGTGTATGAAGCAGCAGATTGGCGATGGTTTCGAGACGCTTCCACGCTACCAGCATCCGAAGGACAACTATTGAGAGTGGACGCCCGCGGAAACTGCATCACGGATCAATATGGACGAGTATACCCAGCCGAGGAGTATAAAATGTTCGGAGTTGCTGCTTGCAATCCACTGCTCCCAATTATGGTCACTGAACATGATCCTCTGGTCACCAGATCGAACTGGGAACTTTTACGTGTATTCCATCCACCATCAATTCCGGGGCTCTCTCAAGTGAGCACCATCACCAGCAACATGGGTCCAGGGCCTGGTCCTTTGCTACACGTTGCTGGCAGAAATCCTGCGTGGATTCCCGGTCTACTTCCTCTGACCTACAAAGCACCCCGACGTGATGCACAACACTCGACAGGCCTTGGAGGAGAGCTGCCTATCGTCCTGGGGCTCATGGCATTGAACGCACCACCAGGCAGCGAGATGAGCAACCATTCGATAGACAGTGTATTTCTTGGACACAATCGCTTATGGAGACATGGAGCCTGGACAAGTCCTGATGCTCCTAGAGGACGTATGTTGTCCAATCGATTGCTGATATAGCTAACAACCACAGATCCCCCAACAGCTTCTGAAGATCCAAAAGGATTTATTGTCAAGGTGTTTTTTGACCCAGACAACCAAAACTCAACTCGAGAAGATCTCCGCAGTTTTGAATGGGAGAGGGCTATTGTTCGAGATTGACCAATGCGACAGCTTAAGCTTGAATTGATTTAGTCTATTATTCATTCCTGTATGAAGCCTGCTCTGCAGTCTGCCCCATGTTCGTTATCCCATCCATGAGCTAGTTTCGCTCGATTACGTAGGACTCAGACCGCGTCGGGAAGTCGTACAGCGATATCGCCAGATTGGGTAATGTATCGAACCCAAGGCAGCGAAGGATATTGCAACTACGATTGTTAGCCTTGATCGTATATCTGACGGGTTTCGTACCTTTGGCTCGGTAATCTTTAGATACCGAACCTGAATACCACTTGTGGTAAAGTAAGGGATCTCAAACTTGACCTGGATAGGTCGCTTAGCACCCTTACCCACACCCCCGACTCCTCCCATGCTACCACCGAAACCACCCATCATACCACCGCCTTGCTCGTCATCTCCTCTCACGCTTGGCAGACCCAGCTCAGCACGCATGAGGAACTCCTTGCCACCACCAAATTGTTTAATCTTCCAGACAATAGCACTCTGCTCAGGGGCATAATGAACAGACCCAATGTTTGTTCGGAAACGAGGGCTATCGGCGTCATCTGGAACAGGAACCACGATTTCGACATTGTTGGCGGTGCTGCGGCGCTTGAACTGAGCTCGAGCCTTGAGCATGTATTCGATTCGGGAGCCTGAATGGGACTCGACTACACATTCAACCCAGATCAGCGGCTTGACCTGAGTGTTGAGACGGTAGGACATGAGCTCGAATTCGCCGTCAGGGGGGATAAAGGAGATGGTTCGGTCGTTTTCGAATCGTGATAGCCGTACACATTGGTGGAACTTGACGTCCTCCATTTCGATAGCTTTACCGCGGGTGGCTCGACCGGTTGTCTCAAACATGACCTTGTCATTCAATCCTAGGCGCAACTCGGGCATGCCACTGAGGTAACACTTCATCTTGATCGCGCCAAGAATTTCTGATCGAAGGACGTTGCCGTTTGCAGACACCAAAAGGTTGAGAGACTCGACAACATCGAGGAATACTTCGTTCTTGCGGTAGCGGATACCCTCTGATCGCCACGACACAGCGTTTGTGACCGCAATTGGTGGCCGTGCTTGGATCTCGAGCTTGTGAGATTCCTGGGTGATGTACTCCTGAAGGATCTTGGATTCTGTTGTTTGCGGATAACCAAAGTCCATCATTTCGTCGAGAAGTTCGTAGATGATGACAAAGTTGTCTCGGATGGATTCTTCTTCTAACGCTTTAAAGTACTCGGTAAAGACCTCGACGATCTTGTGAAGGAATAGGAGGATTTCGGCGGCATTCGTGTTTCGTTTTGTAAGGGCGAGGAGGTAGAGGTTGTTATGGCGGATGTAGAGGTACTATTCAGTTAGCAGGGCCAACTAGCATAGAGGCTACCTACGTTGATGCCTTCGTGGGAGAAGCATGGTGGAACAGCAGAGGAGTCTTCTTCAGCTTCTGAAAGGAGTACGGGGAACTTTTCAACTGCTGACATGGGAATGTCACCACGATAGTTACGGGCAAGAAGGGTCTACACTGTCAGCGAGGCCACACACAGTAGGGTCCAACACACCTTGCCCTTGAGATCTAGAAAGAAGAGTGCGGATGCCATGTTGGATGTCTTGGCGGAGCGGAAAGGAGGTCGCGATAGATGCGACGGTCAAGATCAAGACGAAGAGGTCATGCGCAGTAACAAAGACAACAATCAATAAGGAGAGGCTGAATAGTAATTAAGGACTATAGAGAAGCGCAGGCAATCATCATGGTCCGAGGCGCAATGGTTTCGTGGTCAAGCTGTTTCGCTGGCATCTTTTGGATGCCTGGTCATTCCAGCAGTGACGACACGGTAGAATGTCGGATATGGTGGGGTAGCTTGAGCTCTTGATCACGTGAGAGATGGATCAGAAATTTTGATTAAAAGCTTTGGTTTTTTTTGTCTCTGCTTGTTTTCTCTTCTCCTTAACGCACCCTCTAGACAGTGCAGACCATTACCTAGCCTGCAACCGAATGGCATTCTGTCATTTCAGCCGTGGAGCCGTTGATGTGAGCTGCGATTTCGTGGTGCGGAGAGGGAACCTGGCTCCATTAAGAACTGCCCGAGTATTATTAGTTGCTTTGGCGGTGTCAGAGGAGCCGGACATACAAATTCGTGACTGGACAAATTTGTGACTGAGACATGGAAATCGATCTGGGGTAAATGTGGCAGGTGACCGCAGCCTCGAATTTTGTTGGGGGCTTGACTTCAGGGTCTTTGCTTTGACGAGATCTGCAATCAGGGATCTTGAGGTTGTCACAATGGGATTCGTAAAGATCGTGGCAAAGTCAAATTTGCAAATGCATGTCCAATGAGCTTGTGACCAGTCCATCCATCTCGCGTTTATCACGAAGTCGAACGCGAGGCTGTCCTGTGTCTGAGGAGTGTCCGGTCCTATCTCCAGCTCACAATTTACACAAAACCACATCGACGGAGTAATTTGAGTGTTTGAGAGTAAACTCAGTCCGTGCAGAGATTTCCGTTCAACCGATTCAGGGTCCAAGATGAATCTCAAACTCACCCGTAGGACTATCAACTGTCGTCCGGCAATGATACCGCATCGTCGCGCTATTGCTAGTATAATGCTACCGTCCATCGCACATGTCAAATTCACATGTTGATCAGTTATCGGGGACCAGATACAGGTCCGATAAAGTAACCGAATGCCGACTGGTTTGGATAAAGAGTGTGAATGCAACCTTACTTGAAAAGGAACATATTAGCATAGCTCAAGATGAGCAATCAATGAGCAATCGCATCTGACGTTATCAGACAATTCCATTGGATGGAAAAATAACATTCAAACGCATCAGGAAAAGGATGTAATCCTTCCTCTGTGGCATGTGCTTGAGTTGATCTTGTTAGTGGACTGCTCATGACTCGGGCGACCCGCTTAACAATCGTGACGATGAGTATCTTGTTTGCATGTGATGTCGGTGCATCATCATCCCCAGTTTTGACACGTGCTAGAGGCCCAGAGGCTTCAGGTACACTTCTTAGCGACTCTAGTCTCGACGTTGGACGTTGAGTCGAATTGATCTTGTGATGCTGCAAAAACCTAGGCCCAACAAATTTATCGCATCGTCAAGCGAAACGCCCCAAATTCGGTATATCTTGTGATGATGCTCTGATATTGGGTGCAGCTCTCTTAGCGATCTTCCCCACTACGCCTCTAGACAAGTCACCTGAAGCCACTGTAGCCGGCCCGGTTTTTAGTGGGCTATCGTCTTGCGCTGGGCTTGTTTGTTCAGCCGGTCCCTGCAGCAGGAAAGAAGGTCCCGCGAGCGCCTGACGTTAACAGGTTTCTCTTGTCCCCCCACGATCGCTCTCACTCCCAATCTCCCCAACATCTCCGCTCCATCATCATCATTATTATTGACCGTTTCTTTTGTCTTTCTGATATTCTTTGCGGCCACTGGCCGATTTCACTCGATGCTCAGTTGACATATCCGTGTAATCGCCGACCATGGAGCGCAATCACATGCTTCCTGATCGGGAGTCCGAGTCTCGTCATGTCCTCGGACCACCACCTGCTCGACCTCAATCGTTGATGGTGTTTCCTCCAGCTTATTCCAATGTCGCTTCACCGAGTGCGATAAAGTTTCCTGATGTTCCTACCGATATACCAACCTCCTTGCCTCCTCTGGCTAGATTCGAAGCCGATAACGATACCAAGCTACCACCTCTGAGTTCACTTACGAGCGAAATGGCCCTGGAACCGACCAAGACTTGGCTTCCTCTACACCCTATGCCTTATCCACCAGTTCTTGCGCACAGTATTGATAGCCCGACACGAATGGATCTTGACGGGAGCAGCAACAGTGTCGTCAGCGCTGCTTCTCCTGATGTTCTCGATGCGAGGGCTGGTAGCGTCAGCCTTGATGATCCAGATGTGCGACTGGCAGCTGAAGCGCTTGGAGATTTGAGAGCAGGTATGTTGCCAATTCCAACAGCGATCATTTCTAACGTTGTAGACTTTATATCTTCACCGCCGCATAGAAACTCCTCTCTTCCAGTCAGTCCACCAACTTCTGGGCTTCAGTCGAATCAACCACAATCGCCGCAGCCTGAACCGCTTCTGTCTCTACTTACGACGACTCATCCATTGTTGGCCAGTACAATTGAGGGCGCCACTTCCGCGTATGGTGGTGCCAAGAACTTCTCACCGCGTTTTCGATCTGGCGCCGAATATGTCGAAGGATACCTGACTCCTATTGCGAATACTGTTGGTTCAGTCGGACGAGTGACTGGTGTCGAAGGAGGTGTCAGATGGTTTTTGGGTGCTGGAAGGCGACAAAACAGCTCCACGTCGGATTTGGAAACCGGCAACAGTAAGAAGCGGCGCAAAACGGATGAGGATGAGGCAGTCAGCAACAAGCGATTTGAGTCTGAAGGAATGCAACAAATGAGCGATGAACAGATGGATACAGCGCCTTCACCATCTTCAAAGACCATGTCTCGTCGCATGTCAACTACTAGCACGGTTGACACGCTTCCTGCTTACGATGAGTTGAGATCACCCGCATATACCGAGACTGATGCCAATTCACCGCGACCATCTCGGCCAAACAGCGCCTGGCAGTCACGTCTGATCACGTCTACTTCTGGTCTCAGTGTCGCCATGAGCCAGGAGAGTCTGCGCAGTCTCAAATACTGTCTACAGTGGCTCCGCTGGGCCAATGATCACATTGCTCGTGTGATTTCGGCCTTGAAAACAACCCTGGATGAGTACGAAAAGGTGCCAGGCGGACAAGCTGGCGAACAGGCTGATCCTGAATCTCGCTCTCAACTTGCTGCTCGCATCTTAAACCTCAAGGGCGATGTCCTCAGAACCCTGCGAGAAGCCATCAATACTGTGTCGAGATACGCAGGGGGTGCATTGCCCGAAAACGCACGAATCCTTGTGCGACGTCATCTCACTAGTCTACCCCAACGATTCCGTGTCGCCACCATGACCGACAGGAATGCCGGGCAGCAAGACAACGAGACTGCTCTAACTGAAGGTGCACACAAAGTTTTGGTCTTGGCCAAAGAAGGTCTCGACATGGTTGTTCAAGTAAGTGGTGTCGTAGATGGAACAATTGTCAGCGCTGAGCAATGGCTCGACCGTATGGGCAAACGCAGAGCCCAAGAAGACGAGAAGCCGATGCTTCCTCAAACCGAGGTTAATGGAGATGTGAAAATGGGTTAATTGGAAACGAAAACGAGGGTGACACCTGCGAGCTCAATATCACGAAGAGCTCATTTCCTTGAATGACGACCGGTTGGTGATGAGCGAGTTGGATTTCTGGCGTTTGGTTGGCTTTGTAGCAACGAATATGAGCTGCTTTCAGCATGTCATGTGGCGTCTGATATTCAGACGAATGTGATGTACGGGTCGGAACAACACAATACCGACTATTTAAGACTCTTTGGATGCAATTTATTACTCAATCATGGCACCTTCAAGATCAAGATATTCCACCCCTCGAGTCAAAGCTTGTCAACATTGTATAACCGCCAAAGCAAAATGTGACCGCAAAGAAACCTGTGGACGTTGTGCCTTGCGGAGTCTAACATGCAGCTATCCTGGGAGATCTCGAGAGCCGACCGTAGACTCGCAGCCGGACGCGGAGACCTGGGGAAACCATGACACTCTGGACTCTGAACAGTCCTCACAAACAGACACTCCCCTTCACTTTGATACACTGGACCTTGTGTGTCCGATCAACAGCGACGACATCAAGAACCGATGGCTCAACTCGTATGTTCCTCTGCCTGGACAGTCGCCCAAGAACTACAGTCAAAGTGTCATCAATTTTGTCTATCGAATGCTCAAGTCGTATGCCTCAACAGTGATTCGAGGTCGTCTGCCACCATTCATCCATCCTATGCAGCAATCCTTGGTGCCGCTCTCGACCTGTCTTACTCTGGTCCGAATATGCGACCCTCTACCTGGCAACGTGAGTATCGCCGCAGATATCCTACAGCGGGAAATGACTAGACTCTACGAAGAGCGAGGAACATATGAAGGTGTCAATCTTCTTGGAGTGTTTCAAGCATACCTCATCTATTCCATGGTTCTGTTCTTTCACCTGGGGCCTTCAATGCCATTTCTTCGTCAGGCAATGATCAACCTGCAGGAAATTGCATGCGCAACCTCTCGAGAAGGGCTTGTATGTGCGGCAGAACAACGAGGCGCCCTACCGAAATGGGAATCATGGATCATGGCAGAGGCCAAGAGACGAACGCTGTACACCATGTACTTTCTTGACAATGTGTTGTCGGCTCATGATGGTCTCACCACGTATCTGGGAACTGAGTTGAGGGGGCTCTATTCGCCATCGAGCAAGTATCTGTGGCAAGCGGATCGGAATGGATGGGAACAAAGCTACAACTCTCACCTGGCCGAATGGGGAAGTGAACCCTTTCGACTGGATGAATTGTGGCCATTTCCAGATGGAATGGGCGACGAAGAAATAAAACGCCAACGACGGAGGGTAGATCGATGGTTGGAAGATGTTGATGAATTTGGGACAATGCTATATGCAGCCTCAAGCTGTACTCATGGAGAGTAGCGCTTTGACTTAATATCCGAAGGAACTCGGGGCCGTACAGCCTTGCCAAGATCAATACTCCTCCAAATCGCCTATAGCCGTTCGAATATGTCATTCAGAACATGTTTTGCCCAATTACGCCACAGGATCAACGACCTAACTCGTCGCCTTGAGTCATTGCAGTGGCCTCAACCAAAGGAAGCCCTGTAACAGAAACAGAGTTCAGCACCAGCCGTTAGTGGCGTTGATCGTCGACGGTTGGCTCCCCGATGATCCACTAGCTAAAGCTTGACTCTCAGATATCAAGGATTCATCGCCTCCCGTCATTCTGCATCTCCATTTACAATGAATTCGAGATATGTGGAATGCAACAGGTCCCGATTCAAATCGAAATGCCCCTCCTGGGGTTGTTCCCGATTATAACAACCCGGAAGACGTCTACTGGACGTTGAATATTGTCTTGACGACGATATGCGTATTCTTTATTACGCTCTTTTTTATAGTACGAATTTATGTCAAGGGAACCATTAGCCGGAACTTTGGATTGGAAGATTGTATGTCGATAATTCATGTTAGACAAAGCTAACAGTTTAGGGACGTGTATAGCAGCATTTGTATGACCGACTCTTGATGTTTGGCTATGGCTAACCTTTAGATTACCGCCATCATGTACTGCGTCACCTGCTTTATGAGTACGTCAATACCCTGTACTGCAACTATCTGAGTACGTCAGTCCTTTCGTTGCATCACTAACAAAGTAGTGGCCCGATATGGAGCAGGTTATCATGCTTGGGAGATTCGTAAACCAGAACATTACAATTGGTTAAAGGTGAGTAGCCCATAGTAACCGATCGATCTAACAAGTCAGTGGTTCTATGCGAGCACGGTTGTCTATATCCCAGCTGCCTTTTTCACCAAAGCGACCATTCTACTTCTCATGGCACGGGTTTTTGCTGTTGAACCACGAGTCGCAAAAGGAATCAGAATCTTGATATGGGCTCTACTAGTGGCATACATTCCGATTCAAATCCTTCGAATTGTCAACTGTTATCCCATTCGGACATATTGGGACCCGGATGTCAGAAACGCACGATGTCTCAACCAACGAAAGATCTTCTTTTCAGATCTGTCGCTATCGATTGTCACGGATTTGGTCATTCTGTTGATCCCGATACCGTTGACTTGGAAACTCCGAATGTCGATAGGCAAAAGGATCAAGATTGTGCTGCTTTTGGGGGCCGGTGGAATCGCTACAGCCTTGACACTCTTCCGTGTTGCCAAAGCAGTTGACTTTTTGAACTCGGATGATATCACTGTTGATTATACGCCGATTGGCATTCTAACGTATGTCTGTCAGCCCGATAACGCTTGTCTAACAATTGTAGGGCTCTCGAGATTACTATAGGCTTTGTCTGCGCCTGTCTTCCCTCTCTGAACCTCCTGATCGAGCACCATGTCCGTAAACGTAGACGAGCACGAAACCCGAATTGGCCACGCGATCGAACACGAGCATCCCTGTTCAAGAAGCGTTTCCGATGGATTAGTTCGTCCACAGAACACATGCCCTCTCGACCGAATCGCCCCTCAGATGGAATGATAGACTTGGACGTGGAAATGGCCATGTTGACAGGCCAGCCTGTACGATTACAAACGGGACGAACAGCCAGTGCAGGATCTCATGATATCCGACCACTCGATCATCGACTTAATTCTGGCGACGGACGAAGAGAGGGATGGCTGTCTCAAAATCGGGACGAACAAGACGAGGTCCAGGACAGCAAGTTCATCATGCGGATGGTGGAGGAATCAAGAGCACGAGCAGACGAAGGAGCCAAAGAATCATGGTGTCCAGTCTGGGATGGACCGAGGGATCCCATGGCAAGTCAAGGGAGTTGGAAGTTTAGCGTGCGGTCGCATTAGAGCATAGAGGATACCCAGGTAAATAGAATTGATCATGATAACGAGAGCTTCCATCCAAATTTGTGAATAATCTCCCTCCAGTCTTGGTTTGTACTCGACACTTGAAGGTCTCTTGTATGCCAGATCAACTTCAGTGCATTCCAAACAGCAGATATGTTGCTGATCGGCCATTTACTATCCATCAACATGAAGTGATCCAACACAACCTTTCGTTGTTCGTCTGATGAGCATGCACAGCCTGCCAAGAACAGCGGCCACATAGGAAATGATCTTCGAGTCTGTCCTTCAACGATGATATCGGAGAGACAAGAAAGAAGAGATTCGTGGATTGCCAGAATTGATGGATGGGTGATGGCTGTGTTGTAGCACACGAGGCGGAGGTAGATCTGGGCAGCAATTCTAAAAGACTCGGCGCTCCGCAAGAGATAGTCGTCTGTGCCCTGAAAAGAGAGGTCTTCGAGTCGCTGTTCAATTTCCTGACCTGTTGTGTACAGTTGATCCTTGGATATGTCGTGGGTAGACAGTGAAGATATTTCGTTGATGATGTCGACGAGGTCCATTGAGCAACCAATCTGTTCATCAACCAGATTCCGAGAATGCGGGAGTGTAGCCTCTGCTTTGGCCAGCCCAGCCATTGCTTGGTGTAACGAGTCCTGGTGTGTAGGTTGCGTAGTCTCCATCAGAATGTATCGAAACCGGAAGTATTGAAGCACAAACTCGGCCACATTGGGGTCGATACTGCTCCCAAAACTCTCAAGCAGAGCGAGTGCGCCTTGAAGATGACGGAGCCATGCTGGGCACGATCCATGTGCGATTTCGAGAGATGCCAAAAGAACACAGGTGAGAAGATTACCCTCACTGCCTTGGGAGTCTGGAAGAGCGTGCTGCAGTTCATGCAGAGCTCGGACTTTGTACTGCATTGACAAAGCGCGGTAGTCTCTTCCATCTGGGACAATGTTTTGTGCCCATTCTGCTGCGCTCATGGCTAGGACTGCAGAGAACAGAGGACCCCGGAACATTCGGGGGATGACTGATGTACGGAAGCCATTCCGGTTTGTGTCCACGTAGACTCTGCTCCTAGAAATGATCTCGACATCTAATCTGTTAGCGGCGATGAACGGCGGAGAGCATACTTACAGTACTGCACGAGAGCTTTCTCAACTGAACGACCCGACTCAAAAGCAAACGGTGACAAACTGCGGGGAACAGATTCCTTCGTCCAAACAATCCTTCCATCGCTCGAATTCACAGCAACGAGTTCTTGAGGTGAGAGATTCAGAAAGCTATGGCTCTGGTTATCACTCGGGACCAGATAGTGATCTGAAGCTGCCACGATAAACTTTAACGGATTCGATGCTGAAGCTGGACTCGGAAAGATGCAGTCGTCTCCTGTTCTTTGACACCTTCGACATGTTGGTTTCTCCTCGTCACATCTTCGCTTCCGTCTTCGACAGTTGAAGCAGCCGTCTCGGCTCCGAGAGCCACCGGACATGATGCATTGCGTGATGGTAGTTGTGTTAGTTGGCGATGGTGGGGAACGGATGGACTTCCGATCAACGCCACGTGACGGCGAGTTGCATGCATTAGCTTTATGTTTCTATATTACTTACGCCTCTGCCATCTGATTATCTACAGACTATTTGATTGACGAGATTGACGTCGCTTGATTCAGCAGAGGACTTTTGTTACCCTGCAGCCACAGCGGAGACGGATATGAACCGGCCATACCGCATCATGACGATCACAAGACAGCTCTCTACCTCGTGGATAAAATCCAGATCCGCCGCATTGCTACTTCAATAATCTCAATACAGCATATTTCCCTCAATTTACTTAATACCAACTCAATGCTTCACGCTCATGGCCACATCCCGACGCATCTCCGATGTGGAGGGTTAGCCCGCAGTGGGGTTCTCGGAGTCATACTCGGTCGACATACGGAGGCTAACAAGATACGTCGCAATTCTTGTCACTTACACCAAATTCTCCCCCAATTCAACGCCGTCCATAGCCTTCAACATGGCTAATGATCACATCCTCACCCTGTCATGCCCTGACAAGTCCGGCATCGTCTATGCCGTGACTGGCATCTTTGCCGCCAACAAGCACAACATTCTCGACCTCCAGCAGTTCTCCGATCCCGTCTCCGAGCGCTTCTTCATGCGTGTTCACTTTGGCCCTACCGAGACAGAGTCCACCGAGCACCTCGTCGAGGCCTTCGACAAGCTCGCCGCCGAGTACAAGATGGACTACGACATCCGTCCCGTCGCCCGCAAGACCCGCGTCCTCATCATGGTCTCCAAGATCGGCCACTGTCTCAACGACCTGCTCTTCCGCATGAAGACCGGCCAGCTGCGCATGGAAGTCCCCGTCATCGTGTCGAACCACCCCGACTACGCCGCCCTCGCCGAGAGCTACGGGATCGAGTTCCACCACCTGCCCGTCACAAAGGACACCAAGGCGCAGCAAGAAGGCCAGATCCTCGACCTCTGCAAGAAGCACGGCATCGAGCTCATTGTGCTTGCCCGCTACATGCAGGTTCTGTCCCCGACGCTGTGCGAAGCCATGTCCGGCCGCATCATCAACATCCACCACAGTTTCCTGCCCTCGTTCAAGGGTGCCAAGCCCTACCACCAGGCGTACGAGCGCGGTGTCAAGATTATCGGAGCGACTGCTCACTTTGTCACTGCTGATCTGGACGAGGGTCCTATTATCGAGCAGCGGGTTGCTCGTGTGGATCACAGCATGAATCCTAAGGAGTTGTCTGAGGAGGGATCCAATGTCGAGAGCCAAGTTCTTGCTGCTGCTGTGCGGTGGTATGCTGAGAGGAGATTGTTCCTCAATGGACACAAGACTGTAGTCTTTAATTAATAAAAGTTGATGCTTGAAGAATCATTGTATTGTGAAGGGTGATCTATGTGAAGGATGCTCTATGAAGAATGCTCGTTGCCTTGAAACCTCCCACTCGGCCTGTATGGAGGGATAGCGTAAGGCAATCACCAATCCCCGAATAGCTCAGCTGGAAGAGCGTTCGGCTGTAACTGATATATGACACCGAAAGGTCACTTGTTCGATCCAGGTTTCGGGGATTTCTTTTGCTGGTCGTGGTATCTGGTGGTGAGTATATCATGACATCTCACTTTTTGGTGTCACCAATTGAAATACACAGCTACCACTCACGGGAGAAGGTTTACTTTAATCTTACTTTAAAAGTTGTTAATTCATATACACAGCTAATTTAAGCAGCAAAAATAATATTTGCAGCCATCGAAAGACGCAAAACTTGAGTTCCCCGAAACCTGGATCGAACAAGTGACCTTTCGGTGAGATGCTTTAACAATTACAGCCGAACGCTCTTCCAGCTGAGCTATTCGGGGAGATCTCCGAAACCGGAGGAATAGCCATTGGACTTGGTTGGGAGTGGAAGTGTAAATTGTACCTATACGCAGACTATTCCTTGAACACAATTAATCTTCGGGTTTACCCTAGGCTGGTAGAGTGAGGGTTGAATTCGAGAATCGCAGAAGAATTACTCTATTATCGCAAAGCTCGTGTATGAGAACAATCACACAAGATGGGATGAAACAACCCCGCGTCCTCTGTGTCACAATGCGACGCCTCAACACCAAGCTTGCATAGGACCTCAACCACTGCATCCAGTCTCATGCACTCACAACCCGCACGTCTCACCTCACAGCCTAGATTATCACAGCATCCTGCCACATGTACCCAACTTTCCTCGCCGATCGCCATGGCTACTCCTCTGATCGTCAGAACCATCCCCGAGTAGCTCAGCTGGAAGAGCGTTCGGCTGTAACTGTACCGTCACCGAAAGGTCACTTGTTCGATCCAGGTCTCGGGGATTCATTTTTGCTCATTGCAGCACTCTGGCTCACCTAACAACTCTCACAGTCCTTCCAACCTCTCCTCTCTCAACCTGCTCAACTCTACCCCTAACCTTCTTCCAAACCTCCTCAGCAACCTCCTCCACACTCCCGCCCGCATCGATCACCACAAGATCCTCCTCCTCCTGTGTCCAGTCCTCACCCCCGTCTAGTCCAAGTCCCTGCGCCGCAACGTCTTTTCCGCCCATGCTGAGACCCCAGAATAATTCCCGTACGCGTTTCTGCATACCAGATCGTTCATAGACTTCTCCACCCCAGCCACCTCGAGCTTGAGCTTGCTCTTCGGTCAAATCGAGGAACAGCACCAGATCTGGTCGGGGGAGGCCGCGCTCTGGTGCTCGTGCCCAAGGGAGGGTCAGAGAGGGGTTTTGCTTGGCGGCTGAGTAGACTATGCCTGAGTGATAATACCGGTCGCAGACAATTGTAGTGCCAGAGGCGAGTAGAGATTGGATTTGTTTGCTGAAAGGTCAGAAGTGAAGTGCCATAGACCGATGTACTCACACAGCTTCCCATCGGTTTGCGCTGAACAATAAATGAATAACATGGTCATCCATCTCGACATCACTCTTGAGATACGCATCAATCATCTGTCCAATAGGTGTAGTCCTGTCTACAAACATCAGCATAATTCACCACTTCTTCAGTGACATACCAGGGAATCTCATAACCTTGATCTTTTTACCCTCCTCGACAAATCTCTGCTCCAACAGCTTCACCTGTGTAGTCTTTCCACTTCTGTCCAAACCCTCCAAGATGATGAATGCGCCCCGAGTTGAGTCATCTGCAGTATCAGAGCTCGCAATCGCGGCTGTAGCCAGGTCGTTGATTGAAGCCATGATGGTTGATGAGGGGAAGTGGATTGCTGACGAAATATTCACACTGTTTTGGTTAGTGGTTCACGTGGGACACAGTGCGGCAGAATCAGATCATATTACACTCAGTGAACAAGTGAACAGCATTCAGAGTCATTACTCAAATACACAGTGAAACAGTCAAACATTCGGTAATAATTAATACTCAGACAATATGTAATCAAAACTATAGCCCCAGCTCTTGGTAGCCTAAGAAGAAAAGTAACGCCGGCCAAACTCCACCATCCGATCCATATCCATCCATTCCATCATTCATTCCATCCGTATCCATTACCATAACAGTTCATACTTGTTCATGCCTCATGCCTATACAGCTTCATCATGTGCGCTACCGCTTTCCCATAACTCAAAACTTTCTCCTGTTCCTTCAATTGGTTCCAAAACTGCAGCCTTGCTTGAACCTTCTGTGGGCTTGGCCATTAAGCTGTCGATGTCTTCTGTTGAAGGATCGATAGGCTTTTCGACAACTGTCGCAGTCGCAGGCGCTGTCGCATTCACCTCTGGCTCATCTTCAGGTACAAAAATGACTGATGTCTCATCACATCCTTCAGCGTAAAAGTCGGCAGTGTTCATTTCTCCTAATGCGACACGCTCTTTCTCAACAATCATGTCATCGGCTTTTGGTGCGCGACGAGTTTGAGAAACGTCATCAGGAGGAGGAACATTTTCCTTATCGCGACCTTCAGCACGATCTCTGTTGAGCTTCCGTTGACTCTCCTCGTCGGATGAAATGTCAAGTACACATGTGCTGTGTTGAAGAAGGTTGGTCATCTCTTGTTCGGGTGTGTCCTCGTGAATGTCAAAGAACCAGCTGGCCTTCATGTCTGGCTCATGCAGAGCAGTGATGGGTTCCTTCTTGGCGCCATAGCCAGGAATAGTACCCTTGAGAGCAGCATCGAGAGAAAAGGGAGCGGCAGATCCAAGACTGAATGAAGGAGGATCAACACGAGTGTAGGGGCCAGCAGTGCGTCGTCGGCTAGATGCGATACCAGATCGCTTGCTTCGGGTAGGAGATCGGCCAGCTGGAGCATAAATGGGAGAAGACTTTGAGATGCCAGAGCTGAGTTTGGCGGGTGATTTAGGTTGAAGAGTGCGTCGGGTCTTGGTAGGGCTCGTGAGGCGATTAGGAATGGGAGATGCAGATACAGGTGTAGGCTTGAGGATAAAAGCAGACGGCTTGAGGATGCTGTCTTTGAGGATGCTGTCCTTTAGAATGTCCTTGTCCTTGGACCCTTTTGATCGCTTGGCAAAAGAAGTAGGATCGACATTTTCAGAATCATCCGTATCAATCAGTTCAGCTTTTCGCTTCCCACCAGTTGGCAGAGCTAATCATGTCAGTGAAGCCCAAACACTCCGCATCTCCACATACCATTTTGCCTGTTCTTGAGACTTGTCAAGGTCTGGAGACGAGTCCCATCAAGGGGAGCAAATGGTTGACGAGTGACAGTAGCCATGATGGACCCAGTAGCGAGGAAGGTTATTGTTTATTGTTATCGCGTGAGTCGAACGTGTAAATGAGTGAAGACGATGATGAGTGAAAGTGGGAGGGAGCGGGTAGAAAAGAGGTGCCAAAGGTGGGTTCTGCTGCGGAGGGCGCGTGGAGAAGATCGGTAATAAGGGAGCTTCAGCGCGAAAGTGGGTTCCCTTAGGGCGTCGTGCCTTGGACGTGAGCGCGGACGTGACGGGCGGCCACTAGAAGCAGGTCGCTAGAATGCCTACAGAGGGCAGTGGACCGACAGGTATGAAACAGAATGCAGATTCGCGACCGTGTTAATTACCAGCGAGTGCATGGAATGGCCGTCCAGTCCAGAGCGAATTTCAAGATAAGGCCATCTCTGCCTGAGGTGTTTTCCCCTCAATCAATGCAGGTTGGTCACCGCTAAGCACTTTTCCAAAATGATTCGCTCAATGCAACATGCCTTGGCCTTGTGGGACACAAGCGTCATCCCAGTTTGCTCCATGCCATGCCCAATCGTCGCGCTGAGCGCCAATGCAAGGGAGATTCAGCATGCAGGATGAAGACATTTAATGTAACGCGAGTTCGTGTTCCTTGATCTGTGCAAGCCGTCGAACTCGTTGTGCCCAGCCAGCCTGAACTCAATGCCCAAACCCATTGCTGTTGTGCCCAGCAGCTTGCATGGCCGCCAATATGCGACCATGGTCTCATCACAACATTGGCAGACCCGAATTCCAATTGGTTGTAGTCTTTCAGCTGATCTGACCGATCGCCAACCAGCTACTGCCTCCACTGAAACGGGTCCCTGTAAAGTGTAACTTTATCCTGGCTTGTTACTATTAACGGCCAGACCACCCGCGATCTCTCGCGTCGTGTCCGTGTCGAACCCCTCTCGATGATACCTGTGTGCAACGCCGATGCATCCAGCTGCAAGTCGGAGGCTGGGAGGCGGGACGGTAACATTCGCTCGGCGTTTGCCACCAATTTGACCTGGTCGCATGCATAGCCTGCCAACTCAGAGACCATATGTGACCGTAAAGTCTGGCGCACCTATGCTTCACTAACAACAGACAATGGTCGCATAAGGTTGCAGAGATATATCTATTGTAAGCCCCTATGAAGTGATAATACTACTGTCGTGTCTGAGGTTGAATCATAATAATACACCGTCTGGCCTCTCCTCGCCGCCTTCCTCGCCTTCTTCACTTGTCCTCGTGAAGATGGTGTGGCCCATGAGTTCCCGACCTACTCGGACCTTGCTCATCATCTTCTAGCTTGTGTTGTTGTGGTGCTTTGGTCCGGACTACCGTATCATGGTGCAAATGATGAGCTGAAGGAAATGCCCCCGGCGTCTTTTCGTCTTGCCGAAGCTGATGATCAGGACTGGCTCTGTATGTTTCGACTCGATCGAACCCAATGTCGTGATTGGCTTGGGTCTCATTCGTCTCGCTAGCGTCCTGAAACAAATCGTGTCGATGAACTGCAGGTGGACTGGCAGGCGCCTTTGTATCGGTTCGAAGTTGGTGAATTGAGGGAGGATACACAGGAGCAGAAGTGTCATCCTTCAACCGGTGAGGTGCATTGGTTCGATATGGTCCCCTTGGATCTTTGGAGAGGTCGTGACTGTGGTCGAGTGTTGCATCGGTGGGTGCAACTGGATCTTGAGCGATTGATCTCTCCCGGGGCTTGCTTCGGCTGCTTGCAGATGAGGTTGGAGACGTACACTCGGATGAACCTTCGGGGATACAGGGAAGGCTTTGATCGGGTTCCGTATCACAAGTGGTGACCTTGCTGTGCGATCTAGAAGTGCTCAAGGATGTGGTCATTGAGGGTTCGGTCTCATACCCACAGGAGGAGCGTCTACGATGATGACCATGATTGATGAGTTCGTGTTCGATTTGAATGAGGGTATCATATGGATAGCAGCAGCCCCATAGACCGTCTTCATTGCGGGTTCCTTCGATGTTGTAGAGATCGCGAACTTTTGTACGCAGATCGGAGATCATAATACCATAGACTAGACATGTTAGAGTGTTTGACTTACAAAGGGACACTTACAAGGCAGGCAGGCAGCGAATCCCAAGCAGGGGAGAGAAAGGGCCGGGTTATGCAGAGGCGTCGACTAGTATTCCTCTCTTGTGTCGGCGATTCCTTTCTTGCTGACCGTGAATCGGACATGGCCATCCGGGGGTGAATCATATTCAAACGCCCTTCCGAGAGCATCTTTGTAGCTCTTACTGGACCGACCGTATACAATGCAAGGGCAGAGAAATGTTTCCCATAGGATGTTGTTTGGGGCGAGATCTTCATCATCGTACAGCCATTGTCCAGCGAACGGCTTCTCCATTGTGTATAGTGAACGACAGGCGGCGAAGGGCAAGGAAAGAATGATGATAATGTAGTGATGAACAGTGATGAAGATGAAGAGTTTGAGTGGTGGTGATGAGAAGAGAAGGTTGAGTGAATATGCATGCGAACGGAAAGTGAAAGTGCTATTGCGATGCTTCCTGGAAACTGGTGATGCCTTCCTACCTTAACCTGAAGACACGCAAGGTCACGAGAGCAATTGAATGGCAGGAGCTCAGTGAACTGCCTCGTTTTTCACCACCTATTTTCCGCATTCATCCATCTTAATTCACCATTTTGCCAACATAATCATCAGTATCCTCTGCCGCCATCGTCTTTCATCATCAATCTCCCATCACCGTTCATCAATGACTCTTCATTCAAGCGGGAATATTGCTGCTATTCACAAGCCATGTCTTCAATACTGGCACCATCCCCATCATCGTTCATCGTCCATCTCCTGACATCCAAATTCCATCATCTGCTTGCCACCAATCATCACCATTCTTCAATCGAACCATCATTTCAAGCGGATTTCGAGTTGGCAGTCAGAATGTGACCCCAGTTGCTGGCAAAGTTCTGAGCTCAGATCTCTGTAGACTGACTTGACTGCACCGGACATACTGCCATGAAGAACAACCAAGCTGATACTCCCAATTCAGACCTAGCAACAAGCAAACCACCACTGTTCAAGCGACGAAGTTGAGTTACACTTACAAACACGACCCGAGGTTTGCTGGCAAGACAGCCCTCTCCAGGGCAAGATCAGGGACTGACTTGAGTACCAGGATGCAGATAGACGTTCGAGCAGATGACGACGAGACCGAGCGCTGTATTCACCATGATACACTGTTATGGTGGAAGTCACAAGAATCGAGGTACTGCGTCAATTTATGTTGATAGGAGTTTACTACTGAGACTCAGACATATCCTTTCGAATCCTGCCATGGCCACACGACTGTCCTCTCCGAAGATGACTGCTCGTGAAGTGGCTGAGGCAAGTAGACAGAGAACGCTTCTTTGACCTGGCATAGCTAGAATCTTGACTGATCAGAACCTCAACTTGCCTTCGAAACATCTCAAGATTCTTCCCTCGACCACGGCTGGTCTGTCCTGCCACCATCGACTAGCATACTTACAGTCAAAAGCTGCCTTGCGATCCAGAAATGGTATCATATATCTCCCAGTCGATATTATACGCCGGTGTTATTTGCATGTGAGGCCCGTGGTTGAGAACCCATATCAGCAGACAGAACTTGGCACCTCAAGCAACGCAGAATGCTTTCCTGCCTTACTGTTTCTTGAACTTGTGAATGTCTGCTGTGGAAAAACTGCCCATGAAGAGAAGAAGCCCGACAGCGAACTTTGCAAACGTTGTCACAGTTGCGATTTACAGCGGGACCAGCATGCCTCTTCAGAGGACAAAGTCTGCCTTCGTTTGACTCTACGATATCGTTGCCCTTGAGCTGTCGCTGATACTATATAGACTTCACTTTCAATTTTCTCTCAGCCTACTCCCACTTTTCAGCTTCCTCGGTAGGTTCTATGTCTATCTTACCAGATCCTGGCTAACCGGCGACACAAATCGGATGGCATTTGCCAATAGAAGGCTAATTCAACCAATTGTTGACAGGTAGCAACTCTGCTCAGAGGTACTGTCCGATGTGTCACCTGAGATGGTACTCATGAGATAGACACACCTCTTTGGCGTTCAACCGTGACCGCGACCGGCCTTGCAGTCATAACAAAGGGGACTGCCATGGATCAGCAGTTCGTAGAATGATATCGCTGCAGCAAGCACCTGGCTATAGCTTAACTTTTGCAGTCCGAGGAACAGCACGCATTCCCTTTCCAAGCATGTTGGTTATGCATGTGAGCCTGCTAGCAGGTCTGTCACAAGTTTGGCGCCGCTGGGTGGCTTAATGAAGGGATGTAGACACCTCACCCAACACGTTCAATTTCAACTCGTCTCTGAGCCAAAGCGAATTCAACACTTTTGATCAACAGACGACATTCGATGGTGCTTCTGAGAAGATCTACGATAAGCAACCCTGCCACATGTGAGAGGATCAGACCACTACCCCGGACCACGTTCTTCTGGAGGAAATCTGACAATGAGGTACAATTGCTTGATCCGGACGACAAGCTTCCTACAGCCTCAGATGTCGCTCGAAAGATCCATATGATCGTGGCACGCGTATCCTCTCTCAGAATCCATTGATGTTCCGACATCTGGGTGACAGAACTACAACACTCACCACTAGTCAGTCTAGACAACTTCTATACGCCTCACGGCCTGCCAAACCCCCAAGTATGATCTGCTCAACCTCAATTGATGAAGAGGCTGTAGATGATCTGAAACTACTGGTGACCCGAAGACGTTGCCATCAAATTTGGCTTCCCTTTATGTGAACTGACATTCGACAGTTATGCAAGACACATACCAATTTTTCAGAACCATCAAACGCACGGCGCTGAGGGCGACATCACGCGGGGATCGATACCAACTTGGTGCTTAGAATGCTTTTATAGCACGAAACGATGACTGGACTCTCATGTACTTTCAAGAAGCTTCTGATACCCGGGTTCTGGAGTGCGACTAGAGGTGAATCAGAGTCGGCGAGCACTAACCAGCCAGGAATCACCTATGCTCTTCGCCGATTCGTGCAAGAGGTCCAGCCCATACCAGCCCTCGGTATCAATTTCCTAAGAGTATTGATGATGCCTAGATACCATTGTGGTCGATGAAGAGGCAACCTCCGCAGCTCTGCCACTCGGGCCTTAACGCATACTGACCCATGGCCAACGTCCAACCGCGACCGACGCCTCTAAGGCTTTACCATTGGAATCTCGACGGGGTAATGATGGTATGTTCAAGGGGACCACCGATTGACATAGGCTTCGAGTTTACGTTACACGTGTAACTGAACCATGATGGCAATCTAATACTCTGTGCAATTGCTGACGGTGCCTAGACATGACGACAACCGACGAAGATGCAACACTCGTTTGCAAAAACTGACTTGTCGACTGACATCCAAACGCTGTATCAGACGGTCTTCGATATTCCGTCCTGCCGGCCATGAAAGGCATCAAGAGTCAGTCAAAAGCATGACAATCAGGACTGGTCTTGAAATCTTGCAGCACCGGCGACGACTGCATTAGAGTACTCTGTGGGTGATTCTAGAAGTTATTATGATGCCTTGATATGATGTCGACTGATAGAAATGCAGCACCCGAAACACCAATCACCATCTTGACCATTGAAGTAGGCCGTTGTCCACAAGCTCACCCATCGATCAACATCGTGGACCGCCAATGAGGCACCAAGAGGTAGGCAGGAAATCGCCATCGGTTCCAATTGCGTGATCTCTTCTACGTACCCTGCAACTGCTTTGAAGAATGCTGATATTTCTAGACATTGTGACGACCAACATGAAGCAATCCCAAGGCACCAGAATCTCGGTTACTTTACCCTACAGCTGACCTCGAAAGGAAGATGAAGAATGCCGAATGATTTAAACCGGCCTCATGCTTGAATGCTAGTGCATAATCCCATGACCATGTCAGATACCTGTACCGGTAAGACACGAATTTGGGACGCTCCAACCTTCAAGTCCTTTGAATCAATTACTGATGTCCAACGCAAGATAATACGACGGAACTCTTTCCTCCGCTCACGATTGCTCGCGGTATTACAAGTCAAAGCCATCCGTGGCGATCGACATTCGCTTCCCAGAATGTCCCTTCAGCAACCAGTGAGTACAGTCCACAAATTTGCAAATCCTGTAGAGTGCTGATGCGCATGATAGGAGCGATCGTCAAGAACCGGTTCCTCGACCTCTAGCCGCCTCAGGTTCTGATTCCATTTAGAATGTTCGCAGATCAAGGCAATGCCCCTGACTGTCTCTCACCCATTTAGACGCCTGCGTAGGACAATGAAAGAAGTCGAGAAAATGCAAACGTTTGCTGCTTCGAGTTTGCAATCCTGACGATGCCGACAACTCCAAGTTACATGGGCTGCGACGACGGCAACAAGTCCATTACAGGATCATTCAGCATTGCTCAGATGAATGATTTACCCCATGCTGCTATCTTTCACCTCAGGATGTCATCTTTCGTCTTTGTGAGTTCCTCAACCCAAAAGCTGGAGGGTTCTGAGGTGACTAGACTTGACGCCTGATGGGAGGAGGTTCCCTTCACCCATCGCCTCCCCAAATCCCGACCTTGCGATTGAACCTCAACCGTTGAGCCAGACCACAAAAACCTGCTCTTTCTGCAGGAGATACGGATGGCAAGTCGGTGATATATGGTGGCTGGGATTGGCTACGAGTCTGTCTGTCTATGTAGCAGCAGCCAGCGACACTTTCCCACGTCGTTTAGTCGCCTTTGAACTCATCTCATGTTCCGCAACAGGGCCATCGATATCCTTGCTGGTCATTGAGCCCATTGTCCATCTGGCCCTCATTAATCTGCACCTTTACCATCTTTGTAAGTGAGAAGACGTTGAACCTGCGCCGCTGCTTATCTGTGTCGACATCAGCTAGCTTGCCCAAGCCAACCACTTCAGTTCAGCCCAACATATCACATCTGACCTCCTAGTCTGCACAGTTGAGGTTCGAACGTTGTTAATAATACTCAAGACGATCCAGATGAGGCGTCCATTCAACATCAGACTGTCAATTAACACGAACCCACAGTTTCCAACCACTTCCCCGTTCGTTCTTGATACTCGAATGCCAGTTGCAAAGTGTACAAGTCCAGTGGCAAGCGGATGGAGAAGACTGATGACTTGCACCGAAACAAGCCTGTCAACCGATCAAGCTAAAGACTCTGCCGATGGTTGGAGATAAGAACCTTGAACCCCCTCTGCTCTCCTGATGCTGGCGAGTCCTTGGTCACTCTGGTCTTTTCATCAGTCTCAACAGTCAAATCGGGCCGCATTTGAAGACACATGCAACTCAATTTCGAGGCTTTCCAGTCTGCGTGAACCCAACTTGATGATAGTGTCAGTTAAAGATGGCAGATCCCAATTCGAACAGCCTGCACAAACTCCTTTCGACGCGGCACTTGTCAACGAATGCACCGTCTCCAACTACAAGCGCAACGGCTCATACACCAGATACGGCTCCTGCATTCTTGTACACTCAGCAAGACTCCAATGCCATCGATTTTGACGACTTCGAGGCTGCCGACTGGCCAGATCAGGCAAAGTTATGTGGTCTTCTATCTTGGGAGCGCCTCGACTGTCTGTAAGGCACTGACCAATGGAAACATTTGGGACACTGACTGTTTGTACAGTTACGCTGGCGTCAATCATAGGTCAAGTTGAATAGCTTCGCGTCTAGATACCAAGCTCAGTCTTCCCACCTGCATGTTGGGTTAGCTCCTCCAACATTCATGGGATATCCCACCGAGTCCGCGCTGTCCGGGTCAAACTACGATGTCTTCGACACTCTATACTTCTGATTGCCGCTGCAAGTCACCCGGCATAACTGAAGAACGCTGATTGAGTGCCGAGATGCGATGTCAGAAGCCAAGGTCAACTGATCGACTGTGTCTCAAGCTGTCACCTCGGCGTTTCCGTCCGCGCTGATGGGATCGCATCAACTGTCTCGAGGCGTTGCCAGATGCCGACGACCGGTACGCGCTCGTTGCGGTTCTAGTACGACAGACATGACAAGTCGAGCCATGTCTCCAGGTATTGGGTTCACCATCATTCATGACGCAGTCGGATACAAACGTTATCGCGTAGGCTGCCTCATGCAACGTCAAAGGACACCCGACGGCTCACATTTGATGCATCGAACCAATATCAGTGAGCTCATCCACCATTCAGCGCTGGCCATGGTAGTGAGGATGTCCGGGCTCATCAATCATTCGCACACGGCTCCCATAGGCGACTTCACCTTACTAGCCGAAAGTACTGATTGGATATGTAGGGACATTGATACAGGAACGACACGGTCTTCGGACGACAAAGATTTGGACGGCAGCACTTTCCGCCCGCTCCAATTTCCGATATGATGCGCGTTAAGACACCACGTTGGCATGCATTGCTTTCAATTTGATGTTTCAAACAAACTTCAGCGAATCTCTGTGCATCGCGCTGATCTCAAGCGAGTTTATGCGACGACATTTACAAGACTTGTTCTTTGACTGGACCAAACGGAAAGGGATGATGCATTCTACGGCAACACACCGAAGCGACTGGCCTCAATCGACGAATAATTAAAGACGTCAGTATCCCGGCACTTACGACTACCTTGAGACAAGATGCACTCGATCGACATCAACTTGCATGATTCTCTCGTTGTGGCACTGATCTCAAATTAGACCAATATTTGTGGGCATTAAAACACCCTGACAGGGATTCGAGTCCCCCACTCAGGAGAGACTTGATTGTCACCACTTATTCGTATCAAGCACAAATCCGAATACAGTGGTTCAATCAACTGCCGTCTGCCACCAAGTGCCACCGTCATCGGCTGAACCGATTGTATCACCATCAAACTTCAAAAGTGGCAATAGAAACAATGGAAATTCCAACTTCAAGTCCGTTTTTGGTGCGGCTACATCAGTGGCAGCAACACAATGACAGCGCCACTGAGCACCCGCTGAACTCAAGTCTAGAATCCTTCTTATCCATTCCTTGGCAATGGAAGCTAATGCAGGGACCCCAGCAAATGCAGAGACCAGGTTCTGGACTTTAACTGAAGAACTCCTCACTTGCATTGAGGGGAACTTGCATTGGGATATTTCGCATCTGGTACGTAAATCTGAAGACTGTCTGCTGTGATATCGGATCTATTATACGCGGAGATTGGGATGAATTGCGATCAGTTACCGAATCCTTATACGCGGGTTTCTTGCTAGACACGGACACGATTCCGAGTGCGATAAGAATACACGGAAAACACAAGTGGATGCTGTGCCGTGATTGAAACAACGAACGCACACCATGAAATCGCTTCGATCGTGGCGATATACACATGTTGTGGAAAGCTTCTTATTCAGGGCGCTTCTATTAACACGCTTCTCATTGAGGACAGGAATTCTGTGGCTTTACTCCCGCGGTTTGAAGCCAAACCTTGTGCCTGTTCCTGGCTGACCTGGGAAGGTGATTCTGTCATGTGTAAAGTCATGCCAGATGTGGTCAGTGACCAAATCATCAGTTTGGAGCGTGACATGGACGATAGTTAGACACAAGATCACGGCATCTCGGCTGCCAAGAAGAAGAATCTGTCTTGGCTTTGCGGAGAGCTCATGGCACAGGTTGAATGAAGCTATTGGCGAGTCAGTGCCAAGAGCCGGCGATTAACCCATGTTGGTGGCGCCGGCGAGAATTAGCATTAGGACGGGTAAATCACTAGATAAACTTGAGCCATTTTCGAAGGGATGGAGGTGTTATTCGTGGGAATCGATCTAGGACATGCAGCCATGCCACATGGGATCTGATCTAGGCCATGGCCATGAAGCCAGTTGACCTGACCTTTTGAGTGCTTATTATCTGCGGGGGAACTCGGCTTCTGCCACGCACACAAGGTAGGCAGTGCATTTTGTGATGTCTTTTGTGGATGTTTTGTGAACAGCCGCGTGTTATGCAGACGGACAAAACCTTGATTGGTGATGCCATGTTTCGATTGAATGGTGATGGTCCTGGAGCAATCTAGAGCGTAGCAATGGCCTAGCCGGGGACCCCCGCAGGAGCCTAGCTCGTTTAGCTGGGAGCTCCCACCAGGCCCAAAGGCGGCAAGCCAGCTGTTAGCGCACCCGGTTCGGGCCCAAGCGTTGAAATGTGCAGGGGGCTTGGTTCATTTTGGATTAGTTAGGGGTTCCCTCTGTCATGTCGCTGTCTGCTGTGCTCCTGTTCTCCCCTTCTACGTCTTTTGTGGAAGTCAGTCGAGCGAGAGTTTGTTCGATCAGTGGCGTTGCATTGCGTTGCGTGTGTTGAGAAAGAACTCATATACAAGGTTCCTTCTCTTTGCCCCATCGTTTACTCTCCCTTGCTTCGACCGTCTTCTTCTATATCATCGCAATCTCGTCTCTTTGGGAGATCCTCTTTGATTCTCTTCTATTTTCTTGGCTTTATTACTTGACCCATCAACCAATTCTAGCGTCCCATCACCGAACGGACTTGATCGACATCCATGTTGTAAAGAACTGCCTTAACTCCTTACCGATTGAGGTTGTCTCTTGCATCTACATTCATTCGACATTCTACATTATCCAACTGCGCAGAGATCCAACCTCGGTTTCACTCAAGTATGTACCAGCCGTTGGTGTCACTGTCACACCAGCCATAGCCACGCGTCACTAACCGCGATAGCTTTTATTCATCCGATCCTTCAACTTGAATCAATCCAGCATTGACAACTCGACCTCATCATGCCTTCAAACTACGAAAAACTCTCCCGCCCAAGCGGCGAGACGAACCTCACAATCCCCGAGAAAGCTGCCACAAATGCGACCGTAACCGAAACCCCTCGCATCAGTACAACATCCACACCCCAAACAGACAAACTCAACCCCTTCGACACCGACATCGAAGCCATGGTCACAACACGAACATCAGATTCATGCATGCACAAGACATCGAGCACCCCCCTCGCCAGAAAGACCGACTGCCAAGTTTGGCCTGGAAAAGATCACTGGAAGCAACAGGCCAAGGCCGCAAAGGCAAAGAACCGCTGCACCTGCATGGCCAAGCTCAGCCAACGTAATCGGTGGATCGTCAAGGGGTTGATCATCTTTCTCGTCGTGGGCATTGCTGTCGGTGTTGGGTTTGGTGTCAGCAAGCCCCTCAACGCTCCCATATGGGGAGACAAGGACGACAAGTAAATTGCATTCGACTTTGCCCTGGATTGAGAGACAAGGACGATGGCAATCGACTTGCTCGCAGGGATTTGTTTCAGGAGTTTGTTATCGCTAGCGCGCTGATTTCCTTTCATGAACGGCGTTGTGGTGTCATTTGAGTTGGCATTTCTTAGGAGTGATGGATTACAGAACATGGGTTATTTATTGGGGGTAGAGCAAGACCAAACTAGAGTCTAGAATAAAGTCTCGACGGTGCATTACACTGAGGTTATCCACAATCCAGCATCTTCATTATCGTGCTCCATCCTCAGACCGAACTGTCCGGCAGTGGTAAGGCACACCAATCCCTGCACACCAGATCTTCAGGAACAGTAGATGCGGCCCGTTGGCCAGTGGGGAACGGAAAGATGCAGATTCGTGAGAAATCACTCTTGATTTGGAAATGGCTGCAAGGAGATAGCCAGTCGAGGCTGGAGATGCTGATGGAGGGGATCCACAGGTACCCGAAGCATCCGATGGGGAATGACCAAAAGATATAACCGCCGCCGCCGCCACGATTTTCGAGTGTCTGTCTACCTGAGGTAGTATGCATATTTGTTGGAGTCTCTCAACTCTTGTCTTTCTGCATCTCGTGGAGGATCTCGTTGTTGCCTCATTGCTCTACAGACTGATACCATCCCGGCCAGAACAATGAGTACGATAAGGGCAAAGCAGTTCAAGGTGTACATGTTGAAGGTTGTTTGTGTCTTTAGTTGAGGACGGGGAGGAGTATTAATAGCTACAAGTGTTTGTTATTCTCTGTTCAATTGAACAGTCTCTCTTTGCCATCACTGCTTGCCGTCACTGATTTGTACTCTGCATTGTAGTGTTGATGCTTGTTCACAATGTCAAAGGATGCTGTAACGAATATTCACTGTTCAAACACAGTTACCACAAAGAAGCGAATCATTCAGACACAATATGCATCATAAAAGCCTCTGATCACCTTCATCTCAACACCATCACACCACACATCAGATCACCACATTAAGACATCCTCACTCAAGATGACCAACTCTTACCTCCCAGCTTCCTTCACAGGAATCCTCTCCTGGCCCGTCCGCCGAGACGATGCCCCCGAGTCCAAGAGCGACCGGATCCTCACCATGGGAATCGTCGGCGGCATCATTCTTCTCTTTATCGTACCGCCTACCTGGTATTTCATCGCCAGAACCATTCGCCTTCGAAGGGCTAGGCTTAAGGGGAAGGATGTTGAGCAGGGCGTGCAGACTCAGAGACAGAACAGGACATAGTTCATCAACGGTTCATACCAGGAACTATGAACACTGAACGGCAGTCATAGAACAGCATATTCACAGCAATATATAACTACTCACATCTCCCATCACTTACCCTCATCACTCATCAACACACCATCACAATGACCAACTCACTCCCAGTTTCCCTCTCCCTCGTCCGCCGCAAGGACGGCGAACAATTTCCCGAGGACACAATCACCTTTATCATTCTTGGCAT